TCAATTTTAAAAAATAAATTAATTGTAATCAAATCATTTCAAGTTGACTTAATTCGATCCCAACTTAATCTAATCTATTGTGAATAATTTTAACCTAAATTATATCAAATTTTAAATTAATACTTTAATTTATAACTTATTTTATATTATAGTAAGTAAATTAAATTAAATATCTAGATTAAATTTAATTTTATAAGTCTACTAAAAAAAAGCACCCACAACCATAACTGCTTTAGTTTAAATGCACTTAACTTTTAATTTCAACCAGAATTCAAACCGCAGTAGCAGCCCTACCTCTTCTCCTCCAAAATTCTCCCTGTTAAAAAAAAAAAAGAGTCTACTAAAAAAAGAGGGCAAAGCACCTCGAGGAAAACTTGCAAAAGGAATTGAACGTGGCATGTTGCTGTCCCCTGGTTCGAAAAAAAAAAAAAAGAAAAAAAAAAAAAGGGAAAAAGGAAGCTTTGAGTGATCATGCAGGCACAAGGGCGGCAAAGGTGATGTTGGTTGGTTCGGTACTGCGCTGGCCATGCAAGTGGATGATTTTCATCCATTTGCGGGTTAAGAGCACGTCTTAATGTTGGCTGAGTATTGTAGTCATGGGAGCCACCATATATAACCGTGTCACCATGTCTTTTGACTTTTCGTGTTAGGATGGATTGTATATGTTAGAAATTTTTACGTAGTCATTAATTGTTTTATTATAAAGTAGATCAAATAGAAAAATCAATAGCACTTGAGCCTTCGACTTAGTGACGTCAAATCTTATATAAGTGTATTTATTTTTAGGGTAATGATTTGAATTCGATCTTTTACGAATTTGTTTAAAAAAAAAAGAAAAATTAATTAATAAAACTTACTAAAATTATGTGCAAACTAAATTTAATATCAAATTTATATAATATAATATGAATAGATATAAAAACTTAAATTAAAGTTAAGTTGTTTGGTAGGAGTTTAAAATTATTATAATAAATTAGATCCATTCTCTCATTTAAAAAACCTTAACTATATATATAAATAGTAAAATTAGAGAGCAATATGAGTTATAAATTATTTCTATACATAAGTTGAATAATGAGAAGATCTAAGTTTCAATATTAATTATATCTATTTTGTAAATTTTACCTGAAATTATAATGATCTTTAATGATCTTGGTAACATTCTAATCTTACATACTAATTATAAAGCTTAAAATATTCAATTTATTTATTTTGTTATATCTTAGTATTTTAAATTTTACATATATCAATTTTTTAAATTCAAACATAGATTTAGACCTAAACGGAATTAATTTGTAGTGGCTCTTGAGAGTGTCTGTTGAGTTAACTCAAAATCTTCGATTTCGGAATCTATATATACATAAAATGCTATTTTATGCGTTAAATAGGATTTGCATTTATATATATATATATATATAATAATATATAATATATTTATTTATTATTTATTATATAAATTATTTATTATATAATATAATAATTATATAATACAAATAACAAATCAAGACTTATTAATTTTTCAATTGTAACGAAAAATAATTTAGATGAATAGTATGTTAATTATTAATTATTAATATTTAATAGATTAGTTTATGTTTTGGTAGATGAAGAGTCAAGACAATTTTCCTTTTTTTTTTTTTGTGTAGCATGTTAATTAGTAGTAATTAAAACTTAAAAAGTGGAGAATATAGAGGTTAGGAAATAGAAAATTAAAGCTTTTAAGATACTTAAATGTAGAAAAAGACATGGGGATGGAGAAAAAAAGATTGGGGATTGGGAGATGAAGAGGCAATACCATTTAAATACTTGAAATGGAAAAATAGAAGATTGAATTAAATATTAAGTAATCTTTCTTCACATCTTTTCATCTTCCTACTCACCAATATATAAACCCTTATTTTTTTGCACCAATATATTATATTCTCCTCTTCATGTGTTTAATTTCTTTTTGCAAACATGAAGAGTTCTAAACATTATTTTTCTTTTTGTTTCTTATTTTATATTGTAACTAAATATAATATTATATTTTTATTTTATGTGTCTCTTTTTCCTCTTTATTTAAAATATGTATATTGTTGTATGAACTATTTTTCATATTAGTCTTATTATTCTTTTTTATGAATTTTTTTATAAAATATATGATGTTGTTTTTTTTTTAAAGAATTTTATAATTTTATATGTTTAAAATTTATACATTCTTTTCTTTGTAGATTATTATTATTTTTTGTTTGTTTTACATAGAGAACTTTACTCATGAGATTGGAGTTGATTAAAGCAAGAAGTGTTGATTAATGCTTTAGTCTAAACAAAAAAAAGTATGAATTTGATGAAGATCAAGTCATATGAAAAAATATATATATATATTTTTTGTTTTTGCAAGAAGTTATTATGTTTCTTACTTTATTTATATTATATTATTATTAACTTTTTAGTCATTTTAAAAATGAATTCTACTTCACATTCCTTATAAATTGTATATATATATCCAATATTATTGCCACATATATTTGTGAATATGTATTCAATTATACTAAAATCTCATTCAAATCACTTTCTTTTTATAATTTTGATTTGAGTACTTATGTTAATATATCAAAATAGTTTGTAACACAAGTTAAGGAATATAATAGGAATGAAAAAAAAAAATGACAAGAAATTGGAAATGATAGAAGGGATAAGAAAACAAACAATAAAATAAAATTTTGCAAGTTAAGCAATTATAGAAGAGAGAGTTGGTAAAGACTTATGTTAAAAAAAAAAGAATTGTTAAATACTTTCATTATTTAATAATACTTTAGTTAAATCTTGCATTTTAAAAATAATTATGGTTTAATATTTTTATTAAAATAATAGTTGGTACTTTTTGACCTCAATTTTTAAGGATTATAAATTCAATTAAATAGGAATTAAAAATAATTGAGGAAGATGAAAAAAATAATAATAATAGAAGTATGAGGTAGAAATTATTTAATTATTAGATTAACAATTAATAAAAACTTATATTAAAAATGGAAAATAAAAATGTTACCCTATGTATAAAGAAAATTTATATATCCAATAATGAATATTTTATATACATTATATAAAATACTACCTTAAGA